AATAAATGGACTGTATCACTAATTGGTGTTAATGATGTTGAATATTTGAAAAATGATCGTTTACAAAAATTGAGGCAAGAACAGTTAATACCTGAATCCAAGTAAGATGGCTATTCTTACACTCTCATCTCATCTGTGACATCGATGAATCTCTCTAAGACGCATAGATCAGATGACAAAAGTTTTTTTCTTTTTACTGTACCAGAAAGATAACTGTGTTATTGAATTTTCTCGTATGCAAGGTAACCATGCAATCTTTTAGGGCTTTCAAAGTGTAGAAATCGGATTGCCCATATAAAAAAATAGTTATCACAAAATTTTGGTTAATCTCTGAAGATTTTAATTTTGGAATACTTACAGGTGGCGCCGCCATAACGATGCGACTTGTGATGAGTTCCGGCATAAATTGCATCAGGGATTAACCATTATTTTGTTCTCGAACGTATCGAACGTCCGGAAAACTACAAGATACTTCTGTGAAGGTGCCATTCAGATATTCTAAACTTGAAATGATGCGAAGCTAAATTAAGAGCGTAATCTTTAGAGAAGCGAAGCAACTTTTGTTTCTCAAATGTGTTATTATTGCGATGAAAAAATTAATTATAATTCTGATGTTTTCCAGCAACAGTGAAGGGAATGCTGATAGAAAAAGGTCGAAGTCTTCACACAATATTTTATTTGGACTGTTTTGCATGATAATTGGTCATGTACGTAGTTGTATCAGATATTTTGAAAAATTATTACAACGAACAATGATCGATAAATGGAAAAGATATACTATTTTACGACATCTTAGTATAGCATATTATTTTGTGAATGAATTTGATCCGGCATTAAAATATGCATTAGAAGCCAATAATGTTCGTTTAGATGGTATTTTTAATGGTAATGAAGAATGGGAAATATCCTGGAATTTAAGACATGTAGGAATGATTCTTTTGGATAAAAAAGAGTTTGATCTTGCACAAGAATATTTGATAACTGCTTTAAAAAAGTTCGATTTAAATGACCTAGACTCTATTGCTAATATGCATCATAA